CTATCAAATCATGATCCTGGTATATGTTTTCTTGTATAGGATTTAATTTTTTAAAGAGCAATGCTTACAACAGCCTTTAACAGTTTGCTACTCAGAATTAACCAGAAAAATATTATAATATTTCTCCACCTCTCCTTTTATAATATAAAAATAAGGATACAGTCATATCGCTGATATTATGCTGAGAGAAGCTGAAAAACTGATAAAGAAATATGAAAGAAGTAGAAGGATTTTTAAAATAGCTCTTTAATTTTCGTGGAAGACATTTTCCTTATGAAAATTAGTATTTCTCCAGAGTGGAATAATTTCCTATTTAAAGCTCCAGTTGGCTTGGCCTGATTATACGTGAAAGAGATTCAAATTGCCCATCGAGGGGATTGCATAGAACCAAATCCAAACAAAGCAGAATTCCCTTCAAAATATTCCATCCAAGTTTCCTTAATCCAGATGGCTCCTATCCCCAGAGGCTCCACCCACACCCTCCCACTCCCCCTGAGAGCTTGGCCCTGGACAGACACTAATGACCATCAGCTGTGCTAGCTCCTTGGCTTGGTTCCACTTCCTTCCTCGTCTCCCTACCTCATACTTTCGATAGAGAGAAAGAACCATCAGGAAAGGGGCATATCTCATAAAGAAGTCATCCGTTTGGGTCGAAATGGAATCACAGTCTTGTATCAGTTCCCTATTGCTGCTGTAACGAATCACCCTAAACACAACGAAAACGTACTCTCTTACAATCCTGAAGTTTAAAATGGGCCTTGAGAGTCACACTCGGAAGGTATCAGAAGTACAAGATTCATTCTGGAAGTCCTGGGTGTCCTTCTAGATCTGTCTCTTCCCTTTTTTGATCTTTAGTGGCTGTTTACATTCCTTGGCTCATGGGCACAGCTTTCCGAGTCTTGTTTGCATCATTGCATCTCCTTCCCTCACATGAATTTCCAGCCTCTCTTTTATAAGGGCTCTTGTAGTTACATGTGGGCTGGAGTGATAGCACAAGGGAAGGGCATTTGCCTTACATGCAGCCGACCCGGTGGACCAGATTTGATTTCTCCGCCCCTCTTGGAGAGCCCCGCAAGCTACCAAGAGTATCTTGCCCACATGGCAAAGCCTGGCAAGCTCCCATGATGTATTTGATATACCAAGCACAGTAACAACAAATCTCACAATGGAGACATTACTGGGCCCGCTTGAACAAATTGATGAACAACGGGAGGACAGTGACAGTCATAGTAGTTACAAGTGAGCTACTCAGATAAATCAGAATAACTTCCCTACCTCAAGATTCTAAATTGAATCATCACTGTATCACTGTCATCCTGGTGTTTGTCAATTTACTGAGCGAGCGACAGTAACATCTCTATTTGTCCCAGCCTTGAGATTTTAGCAGCCTCTCCTGACTCGTCTTTCCCAAAGATTGGAGGCTTTTTCAAGGTAAGAGGAATGAGACCCATTATAGTTACTGGTTTTGGCATATCGAATATGACATGGGTAGCTTGCCAGGCTCTGCCCGTGCGGGCAGCATACTCTCGGTTGCTTGCCGGGCACTCTGAGAGACGTGTGTGTGTGTGTGTGTGTGTGTGTGTGTGTGTGTGTGTGTGTGTGTGTATTTCTCTCTATGATCTGTTGCCAACTGTCTGAACTCCATCAAACATGGTGTGGTAACTATGGATAATGGGTAGGAAGAGTCCCATGATATCTCATGGTTCAGAAAGTGGCCTGGAGCCTGGCGGCGGTTGGGTAGTGGAGGTCGGCTCCTGGGGCTGGGTCCCTTGGGGCGGGAAGGGCTCTCGCCCTTCAATTGAAAAGTTGAATCATATGTATAAATATTTTTTTTCTGGTTTGAAATGTATTGACAATCCTGGGAGACTAGGATGTGAACTTTATTCTGTACATCAAGTTTCTGTTCTTTCTCTAACGCTATTCTAAGGTAGAAGGTAATATGTAGCTATAGCTGTCTATGAAAAACCATATTTACATGCCCCCAAATTAATATTTCTTTATATTTAATGACAGTAGATAAGAAATTAATTGTAGTTTAAATAAGTCATAAAGTAAGATCATGATTATGAACATCAAGCTAGTTACAAAAAATGCCAATTCATAACTCATTCTAGAGAACATGTTTTAAAGAAGATATTCTTAATTTTTCCTATGAAAACTTACATGTCACCTAGTATTACCCAAATCAGTAACTGGTACTGACAGACAAATAATGAATCAAGGTAGATTTTTTTTTTTTTTTGCTTTTTGGGTCACACCCGGCGATGCACAGGGGTTACTCCTGGCTCTGCACTCAGGAGTCACCCCTGGCAGTGCTCAGGGAACCATATGGGATGCTGGGAATCGAACCCAGGTCGGCTGCGTGCAAGGCAAACGCCCTACCCGCTGTGCTATCTCTCCAGTCCCAAGGTAGATTTTTTGAACCTCCCTTGACTTTCATGCTTCACCTCGAATTTGCCAGCAGATCTGATCAGTTTTAAAACTGATTCTATTTATATTTTTAAGTACAAATTTAAAAAATAACCCAGAAAGTGAACACCATTCATTCTTCTCTTTAGCCACACTACCCCAGTCTAAGCCATTTTCTTTCTTTTTTATTTAAAAAGAATAAGCCATTTTCACCTCTCTCTTAGAATCCCGCCCTCCTTGCATGCTCTCCTTCGTGGTCTCAAGCTTTCATCTTGGCCCAGTGTCCAACTCTGTCACACAATGTTGATATTTGTCTTTCTATATTGTATACCAGCTCAACTCATTGTGTTTCTCAAAATTCCGAATTAAAATTTCCTTCACTCTTGGAATGCGTCCCATTAGGTCAACGAAGTAGGTTGTCTGTCCCTTTCACCACATGGTCTCTTAGTTGGTTAATATTTTGTTAATTCTTTAGACCCCTCTTGGATCCCCTCTCTTTAGATGAGCTCTTCTGCATACCTAATACTTTCTCATGGAACTGGTGGAAGAGCACTTGGTGTATCATTTCTTCCTCAAAATATGACAGGTTTTGGGTTGGAGCAATAGCACAGGAGCTCGGGCGCTTGCCTTGCATGTGGCCGACCCGGGTTCGATTCCCAGCATTCCATATGGTCCCCTGAGCACCACCAGGGGTGATTCCTGAGTGCAGAGCCAGGAGTAACCCCTGTGAATCTCTGTGTGTGACCACCCCCCACCAAAGAAAAGAAAAAAAAAGATGACGGGTTTTTCAGTACAAAATTTGGTATCAACCCTCTATCAACGATTTAACATGCACCTCATTTGTTCTGATTATTGTAGTACTAAGTTTAACATTATTTTACCAATTTTATACGTTTCATTTTCATAAAGTAGTCCACAATAGTTCATTACAGATAATATTCAAACCTGAGTTTAACATTAGAACTGAGATTTTTCCTTACCTTGAACTTTGATGAGTCACAATACAGTGGTATGGTATTCCTTATAACAAAAGTTAATGCCTCGTGATATAGAATGTCTCTTCAGAAATAAATTTCTAATACTATTTTACTAAGGCACTGCATTTACAAAGCTATTTATAGTTGGGTCTTAGACATAAGATGTTCCAGCATCAATCCTACACTACTGTCAACTTCCCTCCACCAGTGTTCCCAGGTTTCCTTGGGAAAAAAAAAATTTATGATGACTAATGCTATCTTAGGTTTAAAAACTAAGTTGCAAGTTTATTTACTATTGTAAATAAAAACCAGAGCTCTTGTAACTAGCTGCCTCAAATGCTTTAAGTAGATCTGCTCTATCCTTATTCATAAAGGTCTGTTTTTGTTTTGTTTTGTTGTTTTGTTTTGTGTCACACCCTGTGATGCTCAGGGCTTATGTCTGGCTCTACACTCAGGAATCCCTCCTGGGAAGTTCAGGGAACCACATGGGATATTGAGGATCAAAATCTGGTCAGTTGCATGCAAGACTATCACTACAGTCCCTAAAGGTCTCTTTTTAAACATTATGGAATCTTATGTTTTTAGTCATATTTTAAGTATACACCAATGCATGCATATATATATATATATATTCTTTGTAAAATTTAATATCACCTTTTTAAAAAACTTTAAATATCAGTAGACCTGAAGGGAAATAAAAGGATTTCTGAAGTCCTCTATTCTCTGATACTAAAAAATAAGTAAACTTTCTTGAACACATCAAAGCTATATGCAATTTGAAATAAATGTGAATAGAAAATATGTTCTATTAAGACAGTTCACTTTAATACTTCTCTCAGATTAACTATAGACAAACTTCTTCAGGGCTTCTGACCTCTGATTTTTCATTTTCTGAGAACATTTAATAAAGCAACTAGTAAGACTCCATTATTTTTCTGCCGATTTGAGACACAATTTTTTTTCAAAAACTTTTTGCTTGTTTTCAATTTGAGTTGTCTTTTTCAAGAATTGGTATCCATCCTTTTGATACGTAGTCATCAAGGGAAAAAACTATTTTATCCAGGAAACATCCCTAGTCTATGTAGATGGGTAGAAATCTAACTTTGATAGCTGTCCACGAGCAAATATGAAAGTCCCAATCACCAGAGAAATATCTGTAAAACTCAGGAAAATAATCCATATACTCCACTGAATTCATCAACTTGTCTCCTAAACTTTTCTAGTACTCCTTCAGTACTCACAAAATCTTCCTAACTCTTTCAGCCAAGTGGTGTTCATTTTTCTCTCATAATGCAACCATCTTAGGTAAAGGTAAAGGTAAAGGCCCTCCCGTTGATCGTCGATTTGCTCGAGCGGGCCCAGTAACGTCTCCATTGGAGACTTTGTTGTTACTGTGTCTGGCATATCCAATACTCTCGGTAGCTTGCCGGGCTCTCCGAGAGGGGCGGAGGAATCGAACTCGGGTCGGTCATGTTGGCTGCGTGCAAGGCAAACGCCCTACCGCTGTGCTATCGCTCCAGCAACCATCTTAGATAGGCTTTTATCCTTAACATTAATTTTTAACTTTGACAGTATAATCCCAGTTCTGGAGATGACTAAGCTTTCAGTACTCACAGGCTTACCATCTTGACCAGGTTGTCCAGGGTAGCCAGGGTTCCCAGGCTGTCCTGGGTCACCCTAGAGAAGAAAAGACAAAATAAATCTTTTTAGTACCAACAACAGACCTTGGTAGCAAAGACAATGTTTGTCAGTGTTCAAAGCCACAACTTCACTATGCGAAGCATTTTGTAAATTAAAAAACATTGATGAACATCCCAAAGTAAGATTAAAGAATCAATATATAAAGAATATATCAAGAATCAATATATAAAGGCTATTAGGTTAAACTAATGTGATTTATTTCTGTGTGCACACTACATATAACTAAAGTAATTTTCTTTTTTATTTTCTGATTTTTGGGTCACACCTGGCGATGCACAGGGGTTACTCCTGGCTCTGCACTCAGGAGTTACTCTGGTGGTGCTCAGGGGACCATATGGGATGCTGGGAATCGAACCCGGGTCAGCCGCGTGCAAGGCCCTACCCGCTGTGCTATCTCTCCAGCGCCCCGACTAAAGTAATTGTCACCAGTGTAAATACTGTGGCAGGATATGCTTTTAGAATTCAGAATAAAACTATGAAATATCATAAGAAATATGATTTCAATGATAGCAGTATTTCAAAGCTCAACCGTTTAAATACTTAATTCTATTCTAAATGGTACACTGTCAAGATATCATGACCTATAATATAATATCATCACTCAATTCATAATCATCTATTTAAACATAGTAATACACACAGTATAATTTTACACATTGAACTCAAGTTTTAATATTCAAGTTTGATGCTCCATAATGATAATTTGGTTTGGGAGGGTTTCCCCCTTCATCTTATTTTGTAAAAGCATGAAGACTTACAGAGTTATTCATTGTTGATTGTTGGGTTTTAGACATACAACGTTCTATCACTGATCTCACCACCACGTTCATTTTACCCCCACCAGTGTTCCCAGGTACCTTCTTCCACCCCCACCCCCATAATGATAGTTTGTTTTCTTTTCATTTTCAGTAAGCTCAGCTTTATTTTTTTAATTAATTTTTATTAGTGAAACACCATGAGGTACAGTTGTAGATTTACAAATTTTTGTGCTTGGGTTTCAATTATACAATGATCAAATACCCATCCCTCCACCAGTGCCCATTTCCCACCACCATGGATCCCAGTATCCCTCCCACCCCCATCCCCTCCATTTCACCCCGCTCTGTGGCAGGGCATTCCCTTTTTTTCTCTCTCAGTAGTTTGTTTTTAATTAGTCAGTGATCTCTTAGCCTATACTTGTAATTTACTTTCAACATAATATTAAAATTCTGAAATTTAATATTTTCATGAGACTTGGGTCAAACAACTCTGCCCAATACTACTCTCTTGAGTGCATATAATACCCAAGAAATGAGAAAATACTTTTGTTCACACAAACCAGGGTCCTTTAAAGAACATTATTGTATACAACAAGGCAATTAACATAGATCCATACTAGGTAATGCCAGCGTGTTGTCATGGCAACATAGACCATTTAGATGATCACTGCCCAGGAAAACAAATAATTAAAGTCACACTTTGGGTGACCTAAAGGACCTTTTTATATCTTAATACTAAAAGAATGCTTCAAAAATATCCATCTACCACTGAGTCCATAAAGCCCACAGTGAAACAATGAAAAATAAATAAAATGAAGACCCAGCCATCATTGAAGTAAACTCTTGCATAGAAGCAACTCATTCCAGGGAATAATTCTTCACCATATTATTCACAAAGATCTCAGTGATTATATAGTAACTGAATACCAATACTAAGGCTACTTTCTCAGAGCCAAATTCACTATTCTGAAATACTACTTCAGGCTACTGGCCAAGGAGGTTTCTTCCTAAAATATAACAAGAAAAATGGAAAGAACTTTGTGAACTTGGTCAAGATGCCAATGAAGAAGTGATGGACTTTTCACTTAAGAGTAAAAAAAAAAAAAGATGATTCTCAAATAAACATGTATTTTCAAGTTCATTGATGCATTTCACAATAACAACAGAACAATAATAACTTAGCACCATGATATTTGGAGATATAATAAAGATTATTTCATTAAAAAATTATAAAGTAAAAAAGTAAGAAACTCAATATGACGAAAGACTGAGAAAAAGGAAAATATCATTTCAAAAGAGATGAGAAGTAGCAGCTATACATTCAGGGTGGAAAATAATGTGAAGGAGGGGTGTGGGGGAGACAAATACTAAAAAATTTCCCCCAAATACTAATGCTAATAAATAAAGTATCTCGCTAAAGAGGTGCATTTTATGATTCTAATTCAGTAACTTCCTATGTAAGTTGGACTCTTGGGAACAATATTCTGAGTCTTTCATGAGTTATAAGTATTTTTCTTTTGAATTTCTAGCCTTCATTCTTTCCATCGTTCTTTATCATGTTCAGACTAGTCTCTGTGTTTCAACATATTCCACCTCTTGTCTTTTTCCTAAGGAGAAACTTTCTTCCTTTTCTACTTAAAATTCAACGTGACAAAATTTTTATGACTGAACTCCCTTTTTTATTTGATGTCCCTTTCTATCAATCTGCAGTAGCAGCCCTGATACAAGGGAAGCATATTTTGAGAACTAGTCTGGAGCGATAGCACAGCGGTAGGGCGTTCGCCTTACACGCGGCCAACATGGCCGACCCGAGTTCGATTCCTCCACCCCTCTCGGAGAGCCCGGCAAGCTACCGAGAGTATTCGATATGCCAGACACAGTAACAACAAAGTCTCCAATGGAGACGTTACTGGGCCCGCTCGAGCAAATCGACGATCAACGGGAGGGCCTTTACCTTTACCTTTAGTCTTTTAAATTTTCCCTGTGGTTAGTTTTTATTTGTCAAATGAATTAAGATCCCTTGATAAACACAGAGTCAGGAGTGACCCTTGAGCAACAGTGGATGTGCTCTCTCCCCTCCCCCCCTTAAAAAAGACTCCATGAGAAGAGTGTCTATACTTATTTTCTCTCTCTCTCTTTTATTTTTTACAATACTGGGTATTAAGTAGAGACTATATAATTATTAGCATTTTCATGTTTCAAAAGAAATAAAATCTCTGAAGGACCCCTCTATTATAAACAATACTATCTATTATCTTCAAAATCTAATAAATCAAAAGGACCTAGGAGGGTTGAACTTCTACCATGATGGAACAGAAATAAAACACTGGCATAAAAAGAAAAGGGATTTGTGTTTTCAGTCTGCACAAAAGTACATGACATACTTAATAATATTTTAAATAAATCTAACTTTCTAAGAGGGAAAATCACCCCAAATATAAATTCAATGTGATTTTAAAAGGTAGATAATACTGGTCAAGAGTCCCAAGAAGAAAATTCATCCCTATTATTGCTGGTAGATTTTAATTGCTAGTTTAAATACTGACCTCAGTAAATGATTTGCAAAAGAGAGAAAGTGCTTGGTGTTATTTCTGTGAAATAGGAAATATAAGCTTAATCCTAAGGAACTATTTCACAAACACCAAGAGTAAAAAATTGAATGAGAATAAGATGATAAAGAATAAATTTTTTTTTTTTTGGTTTTTGGGTCACACCCGGCGATGCTCAGGGGTTACTCCTGGCTCATGCACTCAGGAATTGCTCCTGGCGGTGCTCGGGGGACCATATGGGGTGCTGGGAATCGAACCTGTGTCGGTCATGTTGGCTGCGTGCAAGGCAAACGCCCTACCCGCTGTTCTATCGGTCCAGCCCCAAGAATAAAAATTTTTGAAGAAACTAAATGCTTATCTTTCTTTATTGCTTATTATTTTTCTAAGCACTAAAATGTGTGTGTGTGTGTGTGTGTGTGTGTGTGTGTGTGTATTCAATAGGTTTTATCATTCCATTTTATGTAGAGAAAACTGAAGCCTAGGAAAGTTGGGTAACTTGCCCAATGTCACACAAGAGATGCATAATGATGAGAACTCAGTCAATTCAACTTCAGAGCCCATGCGACTAAATATTACTACACCCACTCATGTTACAGGGCATACAGTGATCAAAACCAGACATGCAGGCCACTAACAAATTTAACACACAAAATATTTCAAATGCATTACATTTAACATCTGACTTATTATTATGTATCTGTGACTAAATTCCTAATCTTCTACATTCTAATTTAATTGGAATATTTGCACATTTATATTTAAGTATGTATTCAGCTGAAAAGCAACACTTATTTAGGTTGAGTTGGATCTGTGTCACAGAAGTTTTGAGTTGCTGACAGGCCTGGAAATGTCATGGACTTTAGGGACTATACCAAAACATCTCTGAATATGACTTCTCAAAAAGTGTAAACACTAATGATTAAAGTAAGAAATAGTTGTGCTTCCAAGAGTAAGCTAATATTTTAAGCAGCTCTTCTAAAATTGATATCTGTAGATCTGTTCACTTTTACCCAAGTCCCATTTTATGAAGTCTTCTCAAAAATCCTTGTACCTTCAAACCACTTTCTAGCCTCCACAGGAATATATGACCTACCACCTATTCCATTCTCCAAGATCAGTACCTTCAATCAACTCAATTGCTCATTCCTAGGCTAGAATGTAATTATACCTAGTCTTGTTAAAAATTTGAACATGGGGCCAGAGAGATAAAAACAAAAGTAAAGTGCTTGCCTGGTAGGAGCCAACCCAAATTCAATTCCAGGAACCACATAAAGTCTCCTGACCACTATTAGTAGTGATCCCTGAGCTCAAAGTCAAGAGTAAACACTGAGTAAACACTGAACACCCCCAGAAGTGTCCCAGATACTCCCCTCCCCATCAAAACAATTGTGAACACAGTGGTTCTAGAGCTTTCCAGAGCCCTTTGTATTGTATATATAGAAGAAATACTAACAGTCAAAGGCCCTCCCGTTGATCGTCAATTTGCTCGAGCGGGCCCAGTAACGTCTCCATTGGAGACTTTGTTGTTACTGTGTCTGGCATATCGAATACTCTCGGTAGCTTGCCGGGCTCTCCGAGAGGGCCAGAGGAATCGAACTCGGGTCGGCCATGTTGGCCGCTTGTAAGGCGAATGCCCTACCGCTGTGCTATCGCTTCAGCCCACAGACTAACAGTCAAATATTTATATAATTAATGAGATTATTAGGGTGAAATTAATGAATATGTCAATAGTAGTTACAAATGTTCCTATGGTTTTTTCTTTCTTTCCTTTTTATTTTTTATAAAATTACAATCACATTTTATTTTATTTTTTTGAGTCACACCTGGTGATGTCAGGGGTTACTCCTGGCTCTGCACTCAGGAATTACTCCTGGTGGTGCTCAGGGGACCATATGTGATGCTGGGATTCGAACCCGGATTGGCTGCATGCAAGGCAAATGCCCTTCCCACTGTGCTATCACTCCAGTCCCTGTTTCTGTGGGTTCTATAGTAGGGGAAGAAGCTGTCACTTTTTACAATATACAAGCCATTTGAAATGGAACTGTTTGTAAATACAGAATTCTTTAGCTCTTTCATATAGAACAAAGGCATCAAATATAGTTTAACTGGAAATAAAGATAAACCTATTCTTCAGTGATTCCATAATTCCTTAGGTTAAAATATTCCTATTAAGCATTGTGCTAGACACTGGCATTCCAAAGAATTCATTGTGTTAACTGTCATTGTGACAAGGTTATACGACTATCTATCCACACAAGAATTTCTCAAAACTGCTTGCTCATCCAGACATTTATTTCTGGCTATTGGACTAGATTGGTTCTCCACAGGTAACTTTGAAGGACATCAGTGAAAGTGTTCAGAGAGGATAAAACAGAAAATGCTAACTCTCGGAGCATCCTCATAAAATCCTCTTGTCTTTTTTAGTTTGAGTTCTGCTGAGCTGATTAAAATACTATCAATTTTCCAAGCCAGAAATTCTTTGAAGGAAGTACAATACAGTTTGTTGCTAGGGATTCTGTTTTTCACATACAAGTCCTTGAACTGGGGAGGAAACCACCTCCAGAGGAAAGAGTCCTACAAGAATAGAAGACTGTGTGTGTGTTCCTGTCATAGAGCCAGATTTTTAGAAGAAAATGGAAAGCAGAGCAAGGAGGCATGCCAACTCAAAAACTGGTGGAAAACTGCGATTTCACTTAAAGTAGTAGGTGGCAATGGGGTTAGAGGATGACTAAGAAAAGGGAAGAAAAATGAACAACACATGAAACCGGGAAATAGTGGAAATCAGAGTCTTTGCCAGATAAGATAAGGGTGTGTTGAAATTCTGCTGTTGAAACATGTGTGGATGAAGACTGGTGTCATGCTAGACACCCATGGCTCACTAATGAGGAATCAGAAAATATCAGAGGCATATGATACCTTCCTCCAACGTAAGTTAACATGTAGATATTGCGGGGGTGGCCCAAATCTCACCGAGAATCCAAAAAGCAGTTGGGCATTGAATGGTCAGATATCAAGGGACCTGAGTTTCACATTACATCTCATAATAGGTCAAATCATTTTATATACAATATTCCAAGTTGAATAAAAGATATAAATATTTATGAGAGTCTTTTTAGTATGTCATAATCACCAAGCAGTTTTACCATGGTATATTCTCCCAGGAGCATTTTACAGGTTAATTTCTATGTTAGATCAGATTACCTTAAAAAGCATGTGCTTAAAAACAGTTGGATTAAATCCAACCTCAAAACAAGTCTGCAATATTAAATTACCATTTACTGATACCAAATTTCAAACCCAATAGATAGACTTTGAAAAAATTTTATAACAGTATTTTTATTTATTTTTTTGTGACGGGAGTGGGTAATTCCAAGTGGTGGTCAGGACATCCTGGGGCCAAACTGACAATCCTTGGCCAGTTGGTGCAGTGGGTCAATGCAAAATTCAAAAAAGGAAAACCTTCTTGGGTGCTGTGGTGCCAGCAACCTGTGGGACACCTCAGTACTGCTACAAAAGCGGCATGATATAAACCATCACTTGTTACGAAACAGTAAGGCCCCAGTCATAAACAAATATATGTGTTCATATTCATGCAAATATATATGCAACTAGAATATATGAACATATGAGCATGAATAAAAATATATACCCCCAAATAAATCTAATATGATTTCTTGAAATCAACTTAGTTGCCTCAATTTTAATAAGACATCAAACTCACAATATTAATATCAATTTCTCTTACCCTAACAAAAGACTGTCACTGTCACTGTCCTCCTGCTGTTCATCGATTTGCTCGAGCGGGCCCAGTGACGTCTCCATTGTGACAATTGTTACTGTGTTTGGCATATCGAACACGTGATATGGGGAGCTTGCCAGGCTTTGCCATGTGGGCAAGATACTCTCGGTGGCATGTCAGGCTCTCCGACAGGGTCAGAGGAATCGAACTTGGGTCTTGGGTTGGCCGTGTGCAAAGCAAACGCCCTACCTGCTGTGCTATTGCTCCAGCCCCAACAAAAGACTGAAATTCACAATTTGTTTAAAAGTCTTTGTAATATTGCCCCAAAGCAAATAAAATTTAAAAAAAAATAAAGAAAAGGATCCACTCATTGTGTTCTGTTGGGGTCTCAGTAGCAGGTCTGAGACTTTGACTAAATCCCTCCATCCCTGAAAGCAAGAGCTGGCCCTGTGTACAGGGACCTAGGGGCTTGCTCTGGCACTCCACTCACTGTGGGCGCTCTGGCCGAGGATGAGGGATATAACAGTTACCTTTATCTGCCTGAGCTGATACACCTGGCCTTGAGAGCGGGAGATGTAAACCATTAACTGACATCTGTACTGAGCCTGACAAGGTAACCGTGACACACATGGATTGCCCCTGAAATGTCTGTATGAAAACCCCCAATGTGAGAGCTAATAAACGGATTACTGATTGACCACCAGCTTTTCCCCACTCCTCGTGATTCAGTGTAACAGTGTTCTTCACGTGCAGCAAAACCATCAAGTCAGAGAAGTTTGTGTCACGTCCCAAGTTAATCAGCATTGAATACATATTGCAGATTTATTGAAGGTATACTTGATGGTAGCAGGAAGTGAAGAGATTCTATCTCCCTTTGTTCATCATTTTCTTTGTCCCTTATTTTGAGAAAACGTTCTTTTCCGAGATTTCTAAATGGCTACAGGACCAACTGACAACACTGCCACCTACTTGGAATATTTGTTTCACCCTCGGGGAGACAGAGCTAACATAATGCTTATATGATCAGCTCACATTTAGTATCCAACAGCTTTAGAGCACTGTGTGCTGACCAAAGTCATTGTTGAATTTGGGTTACATGCTGTTCTAAAAAACGGCCATTCATGAGTGTGTATGTACCTATGGCTGTCTCTCTGTCTGTGTGTCTTTTAGCTTACTATTCCCCCAGAAATTTTATTTCCATTTTTGTCTAAAAATAATTTTTCCAAATTAAGTATTTAAATATTCTGGTAGTGAGCATGGAAAATGAACACTGTGCCTTGATAACATATACACGTTGACACACTTGTAAACCGATGTTACCTCAATAAATTAGAGAGGAGATACCATAACAAAGAACCTTTCTTCACCTTTCACCAAATTGTAAGTATCATTCTTGGGCTCATACAGCAGTATTGGTAAATGCAAAGGACAGAACACAAAACTGAAAAAGCGCCCTTACATATCTGTGGGCTCTGAGATCCAGATTTGGGTTGAAAGGCAACAGATTAAGATATGCTTTTCTTTAACAATAATTAAATTTCAATTTTGAAGCTCCAAGGCATTATATAGAAATTCCATAACAGATTCTATGGTGATTATGAATTGTGTGTTTGCTCAGTTTTGTTTGTGCGTCTTTAAAAAGAGGAGACTAAGGATGGTTTACCTTGGGTCCTTGCAGTCCTGGTTTCCCCGGGGGGCAAACACAGGGAGCTGAAGTTGCACCCACATCACTGGGACCATTGAGGCACTAGAAAGATAGAAGTAGAAATAATAAATGAAAGTCATATATGCATCGGTACGTATGTATGTGTGTCTAGAAATTTCTATGAAATGATAAGGAGATGCTACAGTTTCCTTCTAATTTATTTTATTTTTATTTTTTGGTTTTGGGATAGAGCTTACCCCTGGCTCTGTGCTCAGGGATTACTCCTGGCAGGGCCAGAGATGGAGGAAGGTGGACCATCTGCAAGGCAAGTGCCCTTTTCCCTGTGTTATCTCTGATCTTCCAATTTCATTTAGGCGAATAACAACTTCAAATCAGCAAAACATATAGTTACCAAACACATTCAAGGCCCTCCCATTGATCGTCGATTTGCTCGAGCGGGCCCAGTAACGTCTCCATTGGAGACTTTGTTGTTACTGTGTCTGGCATATCGAATACTCTCGGTAGCTTGCCGGGCTCTCCGAGAGGGGTGGAGGAATCGAACTCGGGGCGGCCATGTTGGCCGCTTGTAAGGCGAACGCCCTACCACTGTGCTATCATGAAAATGGGTTCAGTTTATCTTAATATACTTACAGTTGATAAAAGGAAGCGAAACACGCTCACAGTGTCAGTATTACCTTACGAAGAATTATAGAATCCATGCTTACCTCACCATTCTGAAAGAAAAAATAATGTTTTAAGACATATTTTAAATTGCATTTCTAAATTTTCTTAGTGATTTACAGATATTTTGTATCAATTAAAGACGCACAAAATACTAAAATCATGAATACTTGGCATTTGCTGTCCTCTATCTTAAAAAATTACTTATCCATATGTGTCATTACAACATTTATAGTAATAAAGGACTATAAGAAGAGTTGTAAGAGAATATTAAAAGGCCAAGGCTTCTTGATATAATAATAAGACATAAGGTAGGATTTATGCTCTCTTATACTTTTGGGAAAACACCTAGGGACCGGATGGGGAATAGATCATGTATTAAATAAACACGCATTAAAGTTTACGTACATTTCACTAAACAATGTACTTATTACTGAATAATACATAGTTATCAACAGGTTACTAATCTCTCAAACAACAATATATTAGATAAGAGAATAAAAGATGGAAATAAAGGTTAAAAAGCAAAGAAAGTCATATTATAGCTGAGAGCATGGAAGAGACATAGAACAGAATAACATAGATTATATCTGCAAAATTATATCCCATCTCTCTTCTTCTGTGAGATAACAACTAAACTCTTGGACATATTGCTACAGAGAAATTAACTTAAGAAGTTTGCACAATGGATCTCAAAATACAGTAACATATTAGAACCTTTTTAGAGGTTAATATTTAAATTAAGCATTGCCAAAAATTAAGAGGAGAAACAGTTGTTGATGTCAATAATTGACTCAGTCATTTCTATAAAACTTCCATAATTGATTTTTCTATAGACCCTTTAAATGGGCTGCTCTGTAGTTTCAAGTTTTCAGCATTGGATTAAGGAATTTGATAGAAAAAGTTTGATAGAAAAAGAAGACTACAACAGTATGACTAGAGTTTATAAGAAACTTGTAGGGCTCAAATGTCACTATGGATTACGTTCTATCTTATTTTCATTAGCAAAAACATGCAACATTTTTGCCCAGAAGGAAAGAGATTGATCATTATCATTCTCTCTGCCTCTCATATAATAAGACTCTATAACAACTTGAAATTTTCTTCCTCTTAACACATTAGTGAAAAGCCAAATGACATGAGAGTTGTTCATATTCTAGAAATAAGAGAAAAATCTTCTCTAATAATAGCACAAAGACAATTGAATATTCATTGTGCAGAAAATACTGATGAACAGGAATATGATTCATTTCCTACTCTTCAGAGCTGTGCTCTTGTGACATTCTGTCAATGCATCTAATTAAACGTCGGCATTTATTTTACACACTGGATAGTCAGAGAATCCTGTGATCTTGGGCAGATCCAGACGCGTTCCACTTGAGTGCTGGACAGATCAAAATTAGTTATGACAATATAGAAAAAATTCCTTTGTATGCATCATTCGCATTTATAGAGAAACATTATTAATTTTATTTCATTTTACAGTTTTGGTTCACACACAGCTGTATTCTGTGTGCTCAGGGATCACTCCTGAAATTTTTACTGGTTCTGTGCTCAGGGATCACTCCTGGCAAAACCAGAGGCATTCCTGGGGATTGAACCACAGTTGGCCAAAGGAAAAGGAAGTCCTTCAAGCATTGTACCATCTCTTCACCCCTATACACTGTATTTTTAAAATTATGAACCTCAAATAACTTTAATCAAGATACATTCATTTCCACTACAAAATTAGTGAATGAAGTCCACATTGGTATATCTGTTTTCTAATTACTGTTTTGGAAGTAGTGATGGAAAACTTGAAGGAAAAAAAGCAGTCCTACTCACAAATCCAGGTATTTCACATGCTGTCTCCCGGTTGTTCTGTTCTGGGTCACAGTAGATACGCAACTTCTGGACATCAAACTAGGAATATAAGATCAAATGTTTTCAAATTGATGTACAAGTCGTTCTATGAGAACAACTCAGATACAAAAGCTGCCCCTACAGTTATTAATCATACAAATTATACATTGTAGGATTTAGTGAAAACAATCAATATACAAAATCTGAATCCCTAAGATGTGATCAATCTTCCAGGAAGTCAGGTGCCTTTTATTAAATTATAGTCTGAAAAACATTGTCTAGGACACTTAACTACATTTTCAGGCTTTCTGAGTTTATCCTAAAATCTCTATAACCTTCCTTACTACCTAGAAGAAGCTTCTTAAGTTTCAGAGGATTAGTTACAGGCATAGAGTATTGTGCAATGAATAGGGCCAGCACTTGCTACAATTTAAATATTTACCAAAATATGACAAGCTGCATTACAATAGAGTAACTTTGAACATAATCCCACATTTGTATGCGAAGTCTTCCCTTAATAAAAATAAAAAGTGAAAGACATAACTCCTCAAAAAATTATTTTTCAGGAAATAGTTAACTTCTTGATATATATGCACACTTACCTAAACAGATACTGAATTGTAAAGAGACATCAAAAAAGTCACAGAAACACTCCTGACATGTTCTAAAGACATGTTCTAAATTATTTTTCTCCTCATAGCCATAGAAAAAAATTAGTACCCCCATTCACAGCTCTTTTTCCCAAGTTCTTTTTCCCAAGTTCATTATTTTACCTATGCTTCCTCTGAGAAACATAAAATTAATACTTTGTAGGAATGAGGAACTCCACTCTGAACCCAATGAAACACTTTATAAATATTCTTAGCAATAGAGGAAGTTGAATTTTGTATGTTCATGCAACCAGCAAAAACACAATTTCACGAAAGATTTTTTTTCACATTTAGGCTATCTTAAAAAAAATTCACAATTAAACCAGCCAATTGTGGTACTATCATCAAAAATGATCAAAAGTGTCATTTTAAACCATGCAAAAAGCAGTAATTATTCACCTGAACAGTTTCTTCTTTTCCAGAATATTTTCCTATTTGGGTTTGGCCACTGATGAAGATCCCTAAAACTGGATGTAAGGGCTTATTTTGAATCTGTTGATCGTCAATATAAAGTGTTACATCTTCTTCTGTCACTAAAAGACGAATCTGATGCCAGTTTTCATCAAACAATTTCTATCAGAAAAAAACAGGAAAGAAATACAAATAATTTTCAACATCTTTGTCCTTATTCCCTTGCTGTCAGCCACTGCCAAGAAAATTCATCCCACATAGGTTGGTTGTACTGTGTACAGGAATCCAATCCATCTTACCCAAGATCACTCTCAAATGCTACCCACCAAGTGTGTCATGTGAACCTCATTACGTTTTTATTACATACTTTGTAGTAGCGATGTTCAAACTTTTTCTGAAACAACTTATCAGAGTTACAAAGCAGTTTCAAATCTCTGAATCCAAATGACTTTTATTATTCTACATCCATTGTTCCATTGTTCTTTTGGACACACTTCACTAGACCTTCCTCCTGTTCTCTGACACAATCACCAGAAGTCATGTTTTCTTTTCTTTTCTTTTTTCAGGAGCTTTCCTACCTCAACCAAAACAGTACACACAGGTTCTTCCCTTGACATTATCATTCTCCCTTTTGACTCATCTATTATTATAGGGCACTAACTACTTTTATGAAATAAACCCCAGGTCTGCACCAACAGTCTGAACCTCTCCTCTACAAATCACACCTTCAGTTTTAATATTGGCTGGAAGAATTTTGCAATAATGTCTTACAATCAGCCTGGAAAAGTAGGAATAAAATTAATTGAACTAGCACCAGACTTTCTTCCCCTGATCTTTTCCCTTAAATAATAGTATTTTCCATTTCTAACTATGACAAGGTCTTTACTTCTTTCTTTAAGCTACAGTAATAACCAAGTGACTTACACATGATTTACTCTACATTTCCATTCCCACTGTCATAATTTAGTCTTACGAATATTTTTCTTTATATGAATAATTTCCAAACACATTTCTATCTTAAAACATTTTCACTGTAAGCAAGCTGTCCGTACCTCGACTGTCACTGTCACTGTCCTCCCGTTGTTCATCGATTTGCTCGAGCGGGCCCAGTAGAAGAAGGAGGAAAAAGAAGAGAAGGAGGAAAAAGAAGAGGAGGAGAAATAGGTTGAATGGAAGGAGGAAGAGGAGTGGAAAGAAAGAGAAACTCTGGGGGCTGGAGCGATGGTACAGCGGGTAGGGCATTTGCCTTGCACGCAGCCGACCCGGGTTTGATTGCCAGCATCCCATATGGTCCCCCAGCACTGCCAAGAGTAATTCTTGAGTGCAGAGCCAGGAGTAACCCCTGTGCATCGCCGGGTGTGACCCAAAAAGAAAAAAAGAAAGAAAGAAAGAAAGAGAAACTCTGACCATGAGAATAAGTATGTGATAAGGACCTTTTGATGGAATCCTATCATCCACTGAATTAAGAAACTTCTTTGTATGGATTTCCAAATCTAAACAGATTGAGATTACTCCTTGCTAGCCTTTTCTTTCATAACTTTTATCCTCCAAACTTGAGGAAACAACAATTTCCATTCTCTAAACAAAACCCATGAATTTTAACTAAGCATGACCGCTCAGTAACTTCCTACCTGTTTTCTACACATGCCTCTTCCCATCAAAATCCTACACAGAACTCAAGTCCAATGCTAAAACCATGCAATTTATGGAGACAGTCACATCTTATTAGAACACACTTAGCCCTCCACATTCTGCATGACCATTAGAGGCTAGGATATTTGGATCTTCCACAGTAATCTTTGAAGGACAGAAACCTGCCTTATTCATTTATGATTTTTTAAAATTTTATTGAATCATTTATCATTTTTATATAACATGACACATTATCTGAAATGATAATGGCAGACTTCTTTTTTTATTTTTTCAGTATCTTAATCTGCTTACTAAGTGAAGAAATATTTTAAATGAGTAATTTTATATATAACTATTTATTAAATCACTAGAATTAAAATTTCACAAAATAATGATCAAAATACTTTATATCTATATTATGAATATTAAGAGGAATCGAAAGAGCTATGCTTGGAATATCATGATTGACTCAAATGAGAGAATCCGGAGTTCTGATCTCCGTCAACGCTCAAGAATCAGGTACGCTGTCTCATTTGCCAAGGCATCAAAAATCAGATGGGCTGGACCTGTAATGAGGTTTACAGACAACCGCTGGACTAGAGCCATTACTGACTGGATTCCACGGGACGTCGAAAGATCGTGTGGACGCCCACCTACAAGATGGTCAGACTTCTTCGTCAAGACCCTGAATGATCAGTTTGAGGCTCTGCATGTTCCTAGAACGAACAGATGCCATTAGGCTATGCTAGCATGCAACAGGGATGAATGGAGACGTTACTGGCACCTGCTCGAGTAAATCGATGAATAACAGGGGATCAAGTGATCAAGTGATTATGAATACATTTGACTAGAAAAGTCTACTTAATTTTACAATATTGATTTTATTAACTTTGTGTTTCATTTGGAGAAATAAAATGTATCAGTTAAATGGAAATTCTTTATTTATGGAAATTCCTTTATCAACCTGTATTCAATGTGCTAACAAATAGGCCTTTGTCTCTGTACTCTACAGGACATGGTAGCATAAGACAGAAAGCATAGCCATTGCAATAGGTCCGAACAAAATTCAACTTTGGTATCACCATTTATTAAATGTGTTATTTTTGAGAAGGAACTTAATATCCTTGAACCTTGATTTCTCTGTCTGTAAAATGAGAACAACAGCAACTTCCTTGGCTGGTTATTATAATTAAACTTGTCTGGTATCTATTAGTAGGCGCTCAAAAATTTTAGTTACCCTTCTCTTTCATTTCATACAATTTCCTTTCCATTGTGGCTATTATTCAATAGAACAACATTAAAATAAAAACTGAGTATCTTTCAATCATGTGAAAATCATACTTGTCTTACCCCAACACACACAAACCTCCATATTTCCCCAGGAAAACCACAGTCACACCCGACAGCTTTACCTTCACTGGAGGATCGGAAAAAATGACCACTTGTGAGCCATTGATTATACTGGTTGTTGTGAATAGTAAGGTTTTATCCACGCCATTTAAGGTAACTGCTATTTGCGGTCTTCCATCAATTGTTAAAATCCTCCACAAATCCCACATTTTCTTGACCTTAAATCTCTGTGTTGAGACGAATACATATGACGGAGGAAGGCCTTCTGGGAAGACATTGCTAAAAAGGAACGACATGTACAAGGTTGAAAAATTATGAATGCAACAAAAGACATGATTTTTTTAAATCAACATATATGCTTACCTTGTGAATTCTGATAAATCAACTTTTGATGTTACTTCATATCCTTTTATCTTTGTTGGTGAAAGTTGGATTCTTTTTTTAACCTTTTTTTTCACACCCAAGCCTAAAAGAATATCAAATCCCTTTTCATCACGAGCTATCACTGGAATTCTTGTCGGACAGACAGACTCTATAGGATAAAACACAGTCAGTATAAGATGATTAGTAAGGATTACTCCAACCGCCCCCCCAAATATATATATATCATATGATATGCAGACAAATGTTTATAAATCATGTATATATGCCATTTTTTCAACCAAACATATGGAAATATTTTTGGCATCTGGAAAGAGACATCTCAGTTGTCTCTTTCTCCATAAAAGAATAAACAAAAAATTAAAATGTACGAGGAATATTTGTCAACTGATTTTTTTAAGGGCAACATCGCAATGGAGTATATTATTCAGTGCTTTGAAAGTGAGGCAACAGAATCTGTAATAATTAGGTATCTAATTTCTTAGATCTGGGTTGAACTCTATGATTCCCAGTAACTAGGAATCAAAAATATACACTGCTCTATTTTCTGTTCTAGCAGTTTACTATTCATCATCAATAGCACAGCGGTAGGGCGTTTGCCTTGCACGCAGCCAACATGTCCGACCCGAGTTCGATTCCTCCGCCCCTCTCGGAGAGCCCGGCAAGCTACCGAGAGTATCTCACCCACATGGCAGAGCCTGGCAAGCTCCCCGTGATGTATTCGATATGCCAGACACAGTAACAACAAAGTCTCCAATGGAGACGTTACTGGGCCCGCTCGAGCAAATCGATGAACAACGGGAGGGCCTTTGATTTTGTTACTTTGGAATAAACTTAACCTAGGGTCTCTTTGATTCACAAAAATTTTCTAAATGAATCTTTTATCTCACCTATAATTACTCATACTATATTATATTAATCACATCTATAAATAAGTTTCTTATATATATCACTAAAGCTTGCATATATAAATAACTATAAAAATTACAAAATATGATAAAATTCCTCATTATTCTGGGAGACTAATATCCCAAATTACGTGGGAAACTTCATCTGGTTAAATGCCATTTATTTTACTATATAAATGCATCAACGTTTCAGATTCTTCCAAGATCCTTACATAATATACACATTAAGTATGACTACTTACATTTTACAGGGCAGTTGAAAAATTAAATTAAGAACAAACTCTACTAAAATAATTTAACACAATGACTCTCTAATATAACATCAGTACAATATAAAGTCAGGACATGAATTTTATTAGCTTGATATGTATAATGACATCTTGTGCAATAAAACATTAGAAATAGTTTGATATAAATTATATACATTATTAGAGCTAGGTATTTTACTGTTCAGGTAGCAAGATGATGAGTTTTGAAGAGATCCAGTTAGGAATCAAACACATAGAAAGTGTTAATTAGGTGTGGAATCAAGTGATTTGTATGATACTGCACACCATTAATAAACCGCGCTGGCTTAGAAACACAGGACTGAGTTATTCTCCACTTTACTTTGGGAGCAGGGTCTCTGCATACGTGGTTTAGAAAGGACACCAAAACAGACCATTTCCACACACCCATGGCTCCATAGAGAAGGGACGATTTTCAACTGAAACAACAACCAGCTTTATCCTACTCGCTTGGATGGAGAGAAGGCAGGGGAAGACCATGTTTCTTTGCATCACCATCAATCAGCACCAAAAGTCACCCTATTATAATTTCTGTCCCCGTGAATTCTGTTTTATCTATTCTTTATTTTATATAAATAAACAAGATGGTATCTTTTTGTAGCTTATTTTTGATTGGGCTTTGGGGATGCTCAGGACTTCTGGTTCTGTGCTCAAGACCAGTCAGTCCTGACAGTGCACAGGGAATCAATGTAATGTTGGCCAAGGTCGACAGGATGCAAACAACCACCCAACTTCCTGTGCTACCTTTGGTATCTTTATTATTGTTGTTAGGACCAAATGTGACAGTGCTCAGTGAGCCATGTGGTGTGAGGAATAGATCAGGGGACCTATGCTCTACTATTTTAACCACGTCCCCGGCGCCTAATTTCCTTTTTCATTTACTCTTGTTTGTTCAATAATTCAAGAGAATCATCTGTGTTGCATGAAACAGCAGTTTGTTCTATTCTGCTGCTTTATAGTATTTCCTTGTGTGAACTATCCCATTATATAATTATCCATTTTTCTATGGGGCTGGAGCGATAGCACAGCGGGTAGGGCGTCTGCCTTGCACGCAGCCAACATGGCCGACCCGAGTTCGATTCCTCCGCCCCTCTCGGAGAGCCCGGCAAGCTACCAAGAGTATTCGATACGCCAGACACAGTAACAACAAAGTCTCCAATGGAGACGTTACTGGGCCCACTCGAGCAAATCGATGATCAATGGGAGGGTCTTTACTTTACTATTCTATTATGAATTATATTTATATAGTATATTGTATTGCAAATTATAAGTTATAATATATACTATGGGCTGGAGTGATAACACAGTGGTAGGGCGTTCGCCTTACACGCGGCCAACATGGCCGACCCGAGTTCGATTCCTCCGCCCCTCTCGGAGAGCCCGGCAAGCTACCGAGAGTATTCGATATGCCAGACACAGTAACAACAAGGTCTCCAATGGAGACGTTACTGGGCCCGCTCGAGCAAATCGACGATCAACGGGAGGGCCTTTACCTTTACCTTTACCTCTATGGGTAATAATTTGAGTTGTTTCTAGGTTTGGGTTCTTGTGAATCAAGTTTCTAAAGTTTTGAATGTGTGCTTTGGTGAATGTAAAGATTTATTTCTGTTGAATCTCTAGGAATAGAATTGCTTTTTCATATTCTGTGCTCTATTGTCAAAGACTTTTTAAACTTGTGCCAATTTTCACACTTATTCACATGCCTATTGTCAAAATGATAGAAGGATTATTTGCATAAACTATGTCATTGGTAAATAATTACTTGCATAATACTTCAGAGAGAAAGAAGAGGAGAGTGAGTTATGCACATTCATGTTTAACTAACCTAATAAAAATAACGAATGTTTCCTTGTTGATGTCTTTCCTAGAAATAATTAACTTGTGCAGTTTAATCTAGATCTGATCATAAACACCAACAACATGTCAATAAGTGGTAATTTGTGTTTTCTGAATCATGCCATAGTAATTATACTTTTTCCAATAAAATATAAACACATTGTGTTCTCTATTGAAAACGTTAGCTCTATTTTAATTAAAAGCATGGAAAACTCATATTTTGGATATATTGCAATTCCTTGACAATGTAAATTATCTTCAATCCATTTAGATTCATATTCTTTTAATCCTCAGATAGAATTCATGTGATTAAATGAAATTTGACGAGGTCTTATTAAAATATTTTCCTTGGTCCTAACCCATCCACAAAATTTCATCTAGTTCCCTTGTTTTATTCTCCCACAAGCCATGTCAGTTCCTGTGAATTCATCACATGGTGCAGAGACAGAGCAGTACAGCTACGTGAGGAGAACGTGAAGCTAATCATATTCTATTATAAAATCATGAGAGCTAAAACACTTTCTACTTCCATAAACATCCTTGATGTACTGGTCCTGGGTCTCAATACATGCTCCACTACCCTCATGATTTCTATTGTATAGAAACTAAACTGATAGGGATATATATATTAGGCCACTGTGACTAGTTACTTTCAGGTGTAAAGTTGATAAAATTACCCAACAATCTTTAAGTATTAGAGTATAAAGTGGGAGTAATTTTTATATGAAAAGAAAATCAGGAGAAATTCTGAACACTCTTCCAAGGTGAGGTGCACCATTACGAAGAATACTGGGAGGAAAAGAGCCATAATGTTTTGACAACAAAGGATTCTCTCTCTCTTTCTCTCTCTCTTTTCTCTCTCTCCCTACCTTCCTCCCTCTTCTCCTTGGTCCCACCCTACAATTTTTATCTGATCCATAACCATCTGGCCTCTTCTGAGCAGTTCAGATCACACAACCTTATAGAACATAATATTCAAGGGACAGGGCGCTAGCTCCATGGCCACAGTGCATGCCTTGCTTTCAGGAGGCCTGGGTTCTCTCCCCCGAAGCAGAATCCCCTGAGTACTGCCGGAAGTGAGCGCCAATCACTGAGCCAAAAGTAATCTCATAGCACCACAAGGTACGGTCCAAAAACCAACCAGAAAAATAAAAACATTTTTCTGTTTTCATCCAAAAGTCAGGATTGGTTACAAATGGAACATTAAAAACATAGTTTTCTAGAGCCTGCTCTTTAAAACTCACATCTGCACATGGGCAAGTTCGACTGACCTAATTCAAAATATGGGTCATGACATGGAGTAATTCAAGCCAAAGGCTGTTGGATGCTCTTGAAAACGCTAAGAGATCTTTCAGGACACAATAGACCGTTCCATTTTGCTTCAATCTGATCCACTTAACCCAGGCCTGGCTAACTCAGAAAAGAAAGAAGAGTGACACCCATAACGTTGTCTAAACATTACGGCTCTTTTGGTATCTTTTATATCTCTTACTGTGCTCATATAGAATGACAATGCTAAAAATATTAGAAGTAAATTTACTACAACTACTTAAGTAGATTGCTAGCTGAGAAAAGAACACACCCTTGTTGGGATCTCACACTTGAGCAGATCTCCTACTAAACCAAATCAGAAATGAGAAGGGGGATATCACAACAGAAACCAAAGAAATTCAGAAGATTATCAGAGACTACTTAGAAAGTCTGTATGCCACGAAACAAGAGAACCTAGGAGAAATGGATAAATTCCTGGAATCCTATAATCTCCCAAGGCTGAATCAAGAAGATTTAGAATACCCGAATATTCCTATTAATATCAAGGAAATTGAAACTGTAATCTAAAGTCTTCCCAAAAAACAAAAACCCAGGTCCAGATGGATTCACTAGAGAATTTTTCCAAACATTTAAAGAGGACCTATTGCCAGTTTTTCTCAAGCTTTTCAGGAAATTGAAGAAACAGAAACTCTCCCAAACAGTTTTTATGATTCATACCTCTCTAATACCAAACAGAAACAAAGACACCACAAGAATAAAAAAGTACAGGCCGACATCCCTGATTAACACGGATGTGAAGATTCTCAACAAAATACTAGAAAATAGAATTCAACAACTCATCAAAAAGA